GGCCACGCGCGTTCTACTATTGCTACTTCGTGTTGTAAACAATATGTAGAAAGATACATAAGCGACAGAGAGAAATCTTCCTTCGCACACAAGTCGAAGTCGTCGAAGTTTTTCGAGATAATCGCTGCAACTGGAAGGAAAGGAGTGACGGCGGTGGAATTAGGAGAACGCTCGATGGATTCGCCCGGAATCTCGCGAACGAGAATCCGCGTATCTCACTTGCGCGAGCTCTCGCAAAGTTAGAGCGGTAGAGGGGTGGCTTTGGGGAGAGGGAGAAAAAGCGCGCCGGGGGTCACCGACGGTAACTGGGACACCGCGGGCCGACGCGATTCTAGTTTCGGGGACAGCGCGTCCCTTAACCTTCTTGGTGCTGAACACGCGTCAAAACTAACAGTCGGAAAGTCCTGTAAAGTACGAAAAGACGGAAAGTTGAAAAAAAAAAAAAAAAAAACCAATTGTCCGTTTCGGGACTTTTTCGTCGTCGACGTTGTAATCGTCGTTACCTACGCCTCTTCACACCGATTTACGTACGACGTTAATAAATGTTGGTGATATCTCGCAATTCTATGGAGCCTTTCTATCCTTATCGTTAATCTCGAAGCAGCGAAAAGATTAAGCGTATTTAAGATTAAACGCACGTTCAGCACGCCGTCCGACACGCCGGAATAATTTGGGGCGACTGACTTAGTACAGTAAAACATTAATGCGTTCGATAAGAAAAAAGTGCGTATACACGCATGTACATACGGGTACACACAGACACGCACACAACGCGGAACACCGCACGGATCTATATTAGATATATATGTATATGTATATATACATGTTAAAAGTTTATTTAAATACAGCGTAGATAAATATATAAATATTATACGTGTGTTAAACCTTTTCATAGAGATCTAAATAACGACGTTGACAAATTGCATAGTATATCACGTTACGCGATTCTCGATAATCAAATATCGATAATTCGACCGCACGGAAAATATACGCGATATTGAAAAGATAACGCTTGCGAGAAGGGAGAATTAAAATTCGAATAATCGAAAAGCGCGGGAGGAAACGCAAAGCGAAAAAAAACGTTACTCACTCTTAACAAAAAAAAAAAAAAAAAACTAACGCACTCGGCGAGAGTGCGGATGGAGTGAGAGAGAGAGCAAATACTTCAATACTCGTACCGTGAGACTCGAGCGGTCGTTTGTGTTAACGGGTCCGAATACTTGAAACAATCTTTATCGATCAGCTGATCGAAGAAAACTGCCACGAAACATTTGCCAATTACATTAACGGAAAAAAAGTAGAGGGGAACTCTCTCGCGAGACTCTCTCTATTCCTCGTCAATGCGCGCAAGTATTCGCGCGAGTCCACGGTGCTCAATTAGACGTATAAGTACAAAGACACGCGGGCGTGCAAATTATTTTTCTCGACCGAGGTGTGCATCTCTATACTCATTAGTAAATAAGCGCGTCGAGTCTGTCCAAAAATCCCCTGGGTGAGAAAATCAATTCGAACGATCCTCGATCTACCTCAACGACTGTCGGACTCAGCTCCCTCACTTCCCTCGAACGTTTCCGTTTCGGCAAGAAATCATTGAGGAACAATCACCTTCGCGTGAATCTCGTCCAACTGAAAGTCCTAGAACTTAAAATCTTCCACTCGACACTCGAATGTTATAATTTCGCGTTTACGAAGCAAAATATCCTTATATGATTCATCGTCTAAATTATTCAAGTTAAGCTACTCATCTCTCGATCGAGAGATTTTTCGGCAAACGCTCGGCATCATTGTTCGCTACTAATTTGAATGTTTCGGGAAAACTGTAAAAATATAAGAAAAACTGGATAAATTTGTAAAGATGATCGATGTATGCAGGACCCGCGGGCCCTTTTCGAATTGCGCGAAATCTCGATCGTTCACTCACTTTCCCCGAGCTCGTCGGGCGATAGATATGACTCAGTAATCGCGTTACATACACCGAGTACCTATCTTCGAGATCGATTAAATGTGGACAATTAGATTCTTAAGTCGGCACACGTTACATCGTACGTGGTCACGCGTTGTGCAATTAACAAATCAAGGAAGTGATATGCTTTATCTCACGCGGGTGCGCGAACGTGATAATGCTAGCGGCGAGAGATGAGATTAGAGCACCAAGAAGAGAAAGAGAGAAGAAACAGCCATATCGCGGGACAGATAGAACAAGTCGCGCCAAGAAAGACGCACAGCCATGTCATGGGAGTCTATCTCGTCCAGGGATTACCTTGGGTAAGTATTGTTGCTTACAACTACCGCACTAGCAAGTTTCAAATTACGAGAATAGTTAAATACGATTCAATATAATACATCTTTATTAATCCACTAAAAGCTGAAATGTAAATAGATTAAATTAAAAATCAATTTATTGATCTATTGATTAAAAAAATAATATTGCAAAAGCGTAATATGATAATAACATAATCAAAAAAATTGTTTTTACTATAACAAGGCTATTTCACTATAATAAGGCTATTCTCAATTGCTTGTCAAACATATATAAAAAAAAGATTGATTACTACTCCTTTTGTTTAAGTCATTTTATATATATTTATTCGAGATTTGAATTTATCATTTATATTTGATTTATCATTTATAATGATTTGTAACAAGTAATTATTATGAGAAACATTAAAAATATATATTATTTTACAATAAAAATTATTTCATTAATATACATCAAATATCAAAATAATTATCAATTTTTTATCGAGAGTAAATGTGACAGTAGATGTATATTAAAATATGTTTATATATATTTATACGTTTAAAAACTATATAGTAAACACGCTTGGAACATTAAAATAGTAATATATATCTGGCGGAAAGAAAAAAGTAATATAAAAATACACGCTTTTCACATATACATTTGTAAATCTAAAAGAAAAATGAGAAAAATGGAGAAATATTAAAAGCTGAGTATAATTCATTCAATTTTTTAATCTTTCTTTCCAGCTTATAATAACCAATTTACGAGTTGTTATTAAAATAATTTTTAACTTTAATTTTCATTCTCCGCTCAATTTCTTATTCATTATTTTTTAGAACCATATTACATCATTTTTATTTGAAATTATCTTATTGACCTGGCTCTTATTAAATTATTTCTATTTGATATAAAATAAATTTATCCGGAATATTAAAAATAACTTTTTATAACACTAAAATGATAAAAAAATATATAATAAAATAAAAATATAATATTTATTATAACAGCATATATTTATTATAACAAAAGTAGCATGCCTGGACAATCTTTAAAAACATTTTTTATTTAATATAGAATATTGTATTTTGTAATTTAATATCAAAGCAAAAATGTAGAGAAAGTTTTAATGTAGCAGAAATGATATATTAATGTTTAACGAAATAGGTCACTCTTTACTTCGCTACTAATTGATGTGATAAAGTAATTATGAAAACTGTTATTTTGTATATTTACGAAAATTCGTGTGTCTGGTATTTAGAGAAATCACCAACAAAGGAAATATGAAATCATAAAAATAGCCATACAATCACATATCAAAAAGTAATAATGTAATAAAAATAATATCACAAAATTTATTTTAAATACTGTCTATGGATTTTATTGTGGATAACCTTTGAAAACCATGCTGGAAAACACGTTGAAGAAATAAATTTTACAATATGTAAAGAGAGATTCTTGTAAATAAAAATCCTATTATATTCTTATACGCGATTAATTATGCGTGTATATTTTCACCCACGCCATATAGAAAAGTGTCTTTGGTTTGAAAGGGTATTTCCATATAAATAAGGTTATATATAAAGTTCGTTACGAGGTCGCGTCATTACAAGATCAAACAGGGACGGGCTGCTTACGGGAAACGGAAGGTGCGCGACAAGAGGGGACGACAAGAGCAGGTGCCTTGTATTTCGTTGATCGACCTCGACGCGTGGAAGAACCGGGGGATGGTTCGATTTTCCACTTAGAATCGCAACGCCGTACCGTATCTCGTAGCTCGTAAATGGGTCAGCGAAAGAGGTCGCAGGTGCCTCGCCCACCTAGCGAACGTGGTGGGAAAGCGATAGAGTGTCGTATACTCTTCGCTTTACACGATACGGGCTTGTATACACACATACACACCGAAACATCACGAACGAGGGATGGATATGCGCGCGCGCGCACAAGCACGCGACTGTTTTGGGAAAACTTTAGCAGGGGTGGAAAGTAATTTGCGACAGGACGTGATTCTCACGGGATTTTCTATCGGGGATCA